ATTATTGTTTCCGTGTGCCGTAATTTTGTTTTTAAAAATTTTCGGCAGTGACTGCCCGTCGATCCCCGGAGTATTCCGTTTCTCCATCTGATTGACTTCCAAAACTCCGCGACCGTCCCGCCGATCTTGACCAAGCGAAAGGGTTGATAATCTTCTGGTGGCGCCCGAGACTGCCGCACCGTTCTGTCCGTTACCGTAGCTTTCACCGTGTGAGTTAAAAATTAATGCTATTTGCATGATATTGCATATAATTTGATTTGCCGACTAAATTTGACCTTGGATTCAACGGTTTAATTTTACCGTTTAACTTTAAAGCGAGTTTGCGCTACCGAAAGTTCGTCGTAAAGTTGGCAAACGAATTATACAGGGTGGAAATTTGGTCCGGAACAAAGTTCTTTCGAATAAAGTGTTCCAGACAATATTTCCATCATGTATGTCGCATCAACGATATGGAATCATTTTATTATCTGTCCACTGCTACAATAAAAAATTGTGTGGTAAATGGGCCCAATACTGGCGCTCTTTTCAAATAGGCTAAAGATCCGAAAATGTAGTCCAGGTCTCCAAAAGCTCTAAAATGTTTTCTGTTGTATAGATAGGGTGGTTACTTAGAACAAACTGACGATATGAACCCAATTCCCTTAAATGATCTGACTCCCCAACGTCAAACTGTTATGTAACGCACTGATTGGATGCTCACCATAAATCGTCACATCATAATTAGACTACAGAAAATGGGTCACTTTCTCATCAACCTTCGTGCGGTTTGCTCCATATTTCAAAAAATCTTTTGTCGCTCATTGGCCCTGATTTACTTGCTGCGTCCAGGTCCCAGAACCCAGGTATAGTAATTAGCTTGTTAGATTCTTCCGCTGCATTAAAAATAGTGCGTACAGGAAGAGAATAAGTAGTTTTCCTTGGCGCTGATATTGTGATAACTTGCCAATAAACATTTCATTATAATGTGACAGTAACATAAAATCGTGCCAATTCAAAAAAATCTACACGATTGTTTCTTGTCGATTACGAGATATTGATACACTTTGTTTGGTTGCTTCCAAGCATGAGACTGGCTTCATTTTTTGAATCACTTATTGGAAATCGAGGGGTATGACCATCGTGGGTACTCTGGTCCTCCGGCACAGAGACCTCACTACAGTCAGTGGTGTAGGTGCCACGATACCGTGCTGGCGTTAATATAATTACCTTGGAATCAATAAACCATATTAGCATTAGCTAACAAGCAAGAACTACGTTCATGGGGGACAACCGACATTAAATTAAGTTTTCAAAATTGCTTCTGTTATAAAATGTAATTCTGTATTATACACGATGATAAATGAAGCTAAAATAGCTATAATAGTGTTTTTATATTATACGTCTTTGAACGGCAAATCGGCTTATGTGAAAATGTGAATGAAGGGAAACTTTGATTATGAATGAAAAAAATTTTAGCGCGTATCTAAACAAAGTGAGAAGTAGCTAGTGATTGCTCCTTGCCAGTGGGCGACCTGTCTGTCTGTGTCTACACACATTTCTGTTCCAATTTGCAATATGTGTGGGTGTTAACTTTAGAAATGTGATATGTCATCAAGCCAACAAATGTTTGAACGCAATCCTTCCTTATGAATAAATTTCAATGAGGAGAAAGTTGAAACGTACTGACCAAGGGATGATGTTGCGTGTACCAAATGAAGCTTCGATATTCATTTTGTATAAGAGGAATGTTGAAAGAGTATCGTCATTTTTGATTAACGTGTTTATTGATTAAAAATACAAATAAAGTAAAGTGATTTTAAAATCTTCATTTGGCGATCGGTACGGCACATGTCCTAGAAATTGGAATACTTACGAGAGAAATATGAATGAAAGAGTATACTTACTTATTTTTAACAGACACGCTCATTATTAATGGTTGAATGACGACATCTTGTATTCTTCTTCCATTGTTGTTCGACGAATGCGCATATGCAGGCTTAATTCTAACTTCGACGGCAGATGCGTCACACATAACAAGGACAGGTGAATTAGCTGTATACAGAGCGTGCTAAGGACAATTTCTTTAAAGGAATTTCAAAGGAACGAATTCTTGTTTGGAAACATAAAGGGACGAATTTCAGATATTCAAAACGGAGGCATCGATACTGCACGGTTCACTGCGATCTCTACTCAAAACTTACGCATTCTAAACGCGCCGTTAAACCAAATTGCGCTCACTATTCGTATGCAACGCTAGACATGCAATTTTACACATACACAATACCACACAAATGAAATTTAAAAAGTAAAAAATTTAAATACGCTAGCGGGCTCCCATTAGAGTACCCCCTCCTTGTTTTTAAAAGCGAAAAACCGAATGAGATTTGAAAAACAGACTATATATCAAATAAACTGTATACACGCTTCACTTCACTTTATTCCACTTTACTGCTCTGTACTTGTTATTTGATAATGTTATCTTTTCTTCTATTTCTTTCTCTTTTTCAATTTCCCATCTTGTTCAATTCGTTTTTTTGAAATCATCTTTTCCTCATAAGTATCTTCAACGCTTCCGCTGGCTGAAGCTGATTCTTTCTATTTCAAACGCTGCTCTTAACTTCTCTAGAACTTTGTCTGCTCCACAGCCCACAAGGCTTTTAAGCGCCTCCATTGCTAGTAATTTAAAATTTTGTTCTAACTTCTGCTCGGCTAATTCTAACTTCTCTTGAATATCAGCCTTTTTCTTGTCCTTCGCAGCTTAAGTCTTCTCTGTTCTGTAATTCCTGTTCTAAATTTTGATTCTTCAAATATTGTTTTTTCTAAAATCTCTCTTCTTGTTTCTCTCTCTCTCTCTGCATCACGTTCTCTAATTTTATATGAATTTGATTAATTGTATTTGCTCCTGGGTTCAATTTATTTGCTGAGAGACTAGTGTAGCTTCTGGTTCCTAGCTCGGTCCTCTCCTTTCTTCACAGTTTCGATTTGGTCCGTAGCTTCCTCTTCCTCTTTTATAATTTTTGTAACTTTCCCTGATGTCATTACATGAAATTGTACGCATATGCAATACAACGCAAATGAAATTTAAAGCGCCTAGCGGGCTCCCGACCCAGCTTTTTGGTCCTTCTTCCACAAAGAAGCATTAGTGTCAATAAATTTTTATTTCGTTATTCGCTGCAAGTTCTTCATAATGCGTCACTACTATCGAAGTAAAATGTGTTTTTAAACGCTAAAATCTTATAATCGGTAGGGTCGAATTTAATGAAATTTGAGATACCTACTTGCCAACTGACAACAACTTGCTTTTCATTTGGGTTAATCACCAGGAAAATACACACATTGCAACGCAGCTATTATAGCACGAACGGTAAGAAGAAGAAAATAACGAAGGTGAGAATCTGGCAACATTTCAGATTTGTAAATTAATCAATATTCTGCTCCCGATAAAGACACAAATACCATGTGGTTTTAATGTATGGTGAATGACTTTGATGACGATGAAGATCTCGAAGAGGATGATGGTAATAAACGTCTATAACCTGAGTAGTCAATAAAAACAAAAATTTTGTCTGCGCCGGCGTTTTCGGTCTTCAAAAACTCCCTTGTTTTAGCCGACGTGTGAGAACCCGCATTGTCCTAGTGGAGAACAATCTTCAAGCCGGAGCAAGCCAATACAGGAAACGAATCCCATCTCCTGATTTTCATGGTACTTCAATGTACACGGAGGAGGGCATCTAGGAGTGCCGAAAACCATGGTTAAGGTGTGAATTGCAAACAAGATGTGAACGAATGGTGCTGTGCAGTTTGTGCCACAGACCGATTCATAAGACAGAGGATTGCTTTTTATTCAAGAATAGAAGATGCACGAGCGGGTCGTCGTACAAGTACCGCCATCAAGTTGGCGATATGAGACAAGAGTTCCCTGGGACTGTATGACCGCTGCAACCGTGTTGCGAAACGCAATCGTTTTAAGAGAGGGGCAGTGTAACGAATATTCCAGAAATCCTGATAGACGTCGAGGTAATAAATAGTTCGCGCTGATATAAATTGTGTATATGTGAGTGATTCCTAAATAATATTTTACTGTTATAAATCAATCCGTTTTAAGACTGTTATAAATTTATTGTTCATTAATCATAAATACTTACAGCACAATAAAAAATCGAGTTTGGTTTTTGAATTCACTCTACTTTTTATGTCCAGGGAGGTATAACAAGTGGAGTATTGTATTTTAAGGTTTTTACGTCGGTATGGGTTGTGCTTAAGGGGGTGGTGGGGATAGTTTTAAAATAAGTCATTTGGATTCCCCCTGGTTTTTAAAGTAACGGTATTTTTTATTTTTTTGATATCTGTTTTTAAGTAAAAAAAATAGCCATTGCTAGTTTTCAAAGGCCCACGTTGTATAATATCCGTGTTTTTAATTTGTTTTGGTGGGCAAAGTGTGAAGGGTTATGTTGCTTCATTGGTAACTCAGAACTCACTTACTAACTGCATCTTCCTTCTTCACCTGAAAGTTAACTGTTTGAAAAGAGGAAAGGTAGTTGTTTTTTTTCGACTATGCGATTCAGAAAAGTAAAGAAAACTTGGCACTATACAATTCTATTAAAATGTTTATAATTCCCATAGGAAAAAGATTTATGCTCGTTTCTATTTTAAAACTTTTTTAATTATTTGTGTTGCCATTACCAATCATTGTTTCCTGGTTAAATTCAAATTGAGTCAACCCAAAATAATGCCACAAAAAATGTTGTGTGAAACTATTTTTGAAATGCCAACAATCGGTTTTCCGTAGTCATTGAGCTCGCGCTGGCACAACACAGTTTTAAAAAGTGAAATGAGATGCTTTCTATAGGACTATTTATACCAAATTCTATATGCTGATTCTATTACTGTATCCACCAGCGTCTATGCGTCCGATTTAAATATTAAAATCGAATTTATTAGGCACCCCAGAAGAATTTTTTTGTGAAGATCGGAAACGGAGGAGGGAAAAATTAAAAAAAAAGTAAACAAAAGATACTTACATAATTTTTCTTATAACCACTCATCGTAAAATTTTCGAAAAACTTGTGTCACTACATCCACAACGAAAAACTCGAGACACTGCAGCCGCAAAGAAACGGAATGAATAAATCGAATGCAACGCGTGTTTTAAATATTAATTTAGATTAAATCATCAATTTAAAATGTATTAGTTAACCCAGCGTTAGTTTATGTTAATAAATTTCGTACTAAAAAACAAGACACCGGGCCCGTTTAATTCATTTCATCGATAATCACGGTACATCACTTGTACGACGTCATCTTAGACGCTAAGCGTCTTTAGCATCCTTAGCGCAGACCGTCGAAATTTGACGAGAAGACGCGAGGCACTATTTATAGGAAATTTCGCCGGCTATTCTCGTCCCATTTTTTTTTATAAATGTGGGTACCGTAAAATAGGACGCGATATATCGATGACGATTTCCAGCTTGTCTTACAAACGATAATTAGAAAGGTTACCCCTGTGTCACGTTTGATCATTGCGCTGAGTTTGCTGGGTTGGAAAGAACATATTAGCATTCCTAACTTGCTCAACCCCTTTTGTCTTTGAAGTTGCGTTATGTACAAATTGACTATTAAAATGATGAGACAGTAGCGATATTTCCAATACTTTACTTTGTCAGTTTGCTAGTGATAAACGATAGCGACAAAAATATAATAAACGAAGCCCAAAATAGAAGAATTTGAGGTCCTGCGGTAATGCTTCTACATTTCTCTTCAAAACTAACACGTTTTCGTCAAACTTTCAAATTGGAGAATGGCCTAGCAAGTAAAGTCCTGTAATAATGCAAATAGAACATGTTTTTATTACAAATGCCCTAAATTTTGGTATATTTATGTTAATGGCAGAAACGCTTGCCCTGCACTCGGAAATACTGCCAAGGAAAAGAGTAGGTGGAGAAAAACCTTCATACTGTATGAACAAATGCCAGATAAAGTTAATTGACCAAATAATTTGGAGCAGCAAGATGTAGGTATATTAGCATATAAACAACACACAGGTAAGCAGCCGGTAATTTTAACAAAAAAAGTTGTATTACGAATTCACGAAAGGTGAGCACTGCGCCACTAGTTTGCGAACCAATTTCCGACTATTTCATATTGTTACCATCTCTTTCTCGCTCATAGGCGATGAGGATGAAGAACTCGTTTGAAATTGGTTCACAAACTAGTGACCCAGCGCTCACCTTTCGTTAATTCAACTGTAGTCTATATAGGCTGATTCAAATTCGAGGGCCACCATGGGGATCTCGGAAACTGTAAGAGATAGGTAGGTGGTTTAAATTTGGCAAAGCTGCGTATTTTGAAACTTAGCAAAATGCCGTTTTAAAAATGATAAAATTCCGGCTACTTTTAGAAATATCTTTAAAAATGCTTCAAAAAGTAAAAATGACTTCCAAAACAAAAAAAAACAAAGTTGATGTTGGTTATCCGGAGACGAAATGTCAGACTTCAAATTTAAAACTATAGCATCCTGTAGAGGGAAAAAATATAATAACGTGGCATTTATTTTGAAATATCTTTTTAAGTAACTTCGGTAAAAAATAAAAACGATTTAGCAAAATTTTCAGGATATCTCCGAAAGTAGTCGGAATTTTTTCAGTTTTAAAACGTCATTTTGTTAAGCATCAAAATGTGCAACTTTGCCAAATTTAAACACCTACCTATCTCTGACAGTTTCCAAAATCCCCATGGTGGCCCTTGAATTTGGATCAGCCTGTATATTGCATTACAACACACCGAGTCATTTATTAGTCCAGTAACTCAAAATAGATATGAAAATTGTGATCAAATAACACAAACTCTGACAGAACTGCCCCTTGATCAACGTATGCCTACTCTATTGTCTGCGTGCTGCTTTTTTGAAGTGGCTTAAGTGAAATAGTTTTGTGTTGAATGCTCCTTTGGAGTGTTTATTGCTAGCGTCAACTATTAATAACAGTTTGTACCAATTAATATTTTTAGCATTGGACATGCTTATGTTTTGTATGGGTGTGAATTAAGCAGGTTTGCTGAGTAGAAAAGAAGACAAGTGGTGTCGCGTCTAGTGTTGATTGTACCGTACTCGACTGCAATCGCTAGATATTACACGCAGGTTAGCTACGCCGCTTATTATTCAGAAAGTTTACGATTGCGACACGAGCGCGCTAAGCCAGAGTTTCCATCTTCACTCTCTGTTATTGCATTTGTGCATCCAGATCCCTTTTTGCCAGTTCATTTTCCATCTTCCTACTCTTTTCCTCCTTTCGGCATCAGCCCATCCGCATCAATTTCTTTCAAAATAATTTCCTCTTTGTTCTTCCCACATTCCTTTTACGAATTCATCTTCGTTGTCTTTCGCCCATTCTCTTTCTCTATCGCCGCTTTCGTCGTATCTTACTGGTTACCGCTCTGTGCCCTGTCGCTAACCTTATCTTTCTATTTCAGTTTCTTCCTATACAATTTGGTGTCCTTCCGTTTAACTTGAACAGGTACTTTGTTGTTCTAAAATAATTGTTGAACCTCTCTCTCCAACCCCTTTTTTTTAAATTCTATTATCTGTGCCCCTTTGTTTCTTTGCATTTGGTACCCTAAATATTTAATTCTTCTATTCTTTCCTTCTTCCATTTCTAATCCCCATTTTCCTTCCACTTCTCTTCCCAAATCTCATCATCTTCAACTTTTCTACATTTAGCTCTTTCCATTCCCATTACGTTTCCATTCGTTCCATAATTTCCTTCATTTGTACTACCTTTGTTGCTATGATCACTGCGTCGTCCGCGTATGCCAGAGACCTTAATATCTTTCTTTTTCCCACTACTATCCCTCCACTTTTGCCCTGTTTTAATACTTTTTCAATGCCTCTTCAGTAGAGATTAAATAATAAGGTTGGACTAAGTGGGCATCTCTGTCTTAATCCTTCAGATCGTCTGTTCTTACTCTCAATCTTGTCCTTTTCTTGACCCTATCAGTGACCAAAATCCAAGCCTCTTTACATATCACGTCTTTGATCTTTCTCTGTCGCTTTCCCTTTGTAATGTTCCTAGGGGTCTATCAAGCCGACACTGAAAGCGTTGACTTACCCCATACTTACCGTTGGCAACTCTGGCAAGAAACTACAAGCAGAGCCACCTACCTTTCAAGTCGAAACAATGGACGTTTCGCGGTACTTTTGAATTTGGATGGCAGTCGGTTCGATATGGGTATCACGAATGGACTCCTGCGTTGTGTATCGGTTCTTTTATGTGTTGGGACGTGAGACATCATCGGGAAGGGAATTAAATAAAAGACATAACTTTTGTGCGCAAGAAATGACAAGAAGAAAAAAATATATTACGCGCACACAAGACCATGCCAGGGAAACCTTCTACGGGACTAAAACCCTGACATGGGCCACACAAATACATGAAATAAATCACCTACAGCAATAAAATGCAAGAGAAAATACACATAAATAAAACATTTCAAATTGTATGATAAAAATCAGATAATCAAATCAAATGCAATTAAACAAGTTCATAAAAACAAAATACACAAGACATCATAAATGCAGTGGAAAACATGATAAATCAATTCAGTACAAAAACACATCAAAATACCTGTACGATCGATAGAGATAACACAATTCGTCAAATAAACAAACTGCATGTACATAGGAAACATGTAAATGGTGTGGCTCTACTCCATCCTTCCGTTAACATAATTTAATTTAACACGAAAAGTACATGTGAGGATGCCATTGGTCAATAGCAAGTCTTCATGTGAAAATCGATTATCGCTCAAGCAGAACATATTTTAAATAGAGGAAATGTAAATGAGAGGGCCCCCCCTCGTATTGCTAAGATGTTAAGAACTACAATCCGCACGAGACGAGTAAGCAACAGATACAGCGAAACATCTAACTGCATTAGGTACCTACTCCACTGAGACAGAAATACCCACTCGCACACACAAACATCGAAACATCAAATAAAAGAGCCCCCCTTCGTATAGCTAACGCACAAGAACTGTAGCGCCCCACGAAACAGAAAGTAACAGATACTGCGAACAATCAAACTGTATTAGGTACTTCCCTCATGGAATAGTTATGGGTCAATCGAACAGAGCAACATCACACCGATAATCAACTCCTCATGAATAACAGAAACTAATTACGTAATTAAACAAAAAAATGGCATAATCATCTGTAAAGTATTACAAACAGGATTCATCTAACGGTACACGAAACAAATGCATGGAGTACGTCATGATTCAGATATCGTAGTTTATGCAAAATCAGCAAAATGTAAATAATATCAAATTGAGGCAAGAATTCAATGATTAAATAGCTAGTACAAGAAAGAATAAAATGGTTACTACCTGTAAATACACCTTCAAAACACCATCACCCAAAATAATCAAGAATAATAAAAAAAACCCAGGAAAGCGTGTGCCTTCCGTCGGCCTCGTCGCCATCTTCTCCCCATTCTCCCCTAGCTTCGTTACCAAAATCCCCTAGTATTCGGCATCTGCGCAAAACGGTCGTTGGTTATATACAGAGCCTATTATATTTTTGTTTCGGATGTAAACGTGTGTTGCCTAACCATCAGGGTGGATTATCACAAAATGTAGCGCCATTTTCCAAATTTGGTTTTGTGTAGGATGTGCAGTGCCAACTTTCTTATTTATGGAAGCAATTAAATGAAATTTCATACATATACACTTTAAATAAAAGCAAAACTAACATTAGGTTTCAAATTTGGTTTTGCACATGCTATAGCCATACCCAGGAGCTCGTTTTCTATTTGTTTAGTTTATTGTATCATGGATTCAACCAGTAGCGGTCCCAGGATTTGGTAAAGGGAGGGGCCCAAACCCGAACTTTGTCCCAACACGGAAAAAAATAAAAGAAATCTCGCATAATGGAAATGAGATCCACACTAAATTGATGAAAAAAATTGACAATGGCCCCCCCCCCCCTGGGACCGCCACTGGATTCAACCGCTTTGTTTGGTGCGGTATATGCAGAGACATGGAGAGAGGAGATCGCTGATCGACGAGTGCGCATCCAAGAAAGGGTGCGACCTCATGGGCGCTGCCATTTTTACACCCGTTGTGTCATGTTGTGTTTATAGTGGTGTTATTTTAGATTGTGTTCGTGTTTAGGAGAGCTTTTTTCGAGGTTTAAGTGTTTATTTTGTAACGTCAACGTCACTGGCATTTTCTTTTGTTCATTTGGATTGAGATATTATTTTCTTCCTACGGAGCTGCTGCCGAATAGAGTGTAGTGTATGAAGATTGCGTTAGATGTCTCTGGGTTGCGTCAGTAAACCTTTATAGTCCTGTTCAAATTTCGCGCTTCAATGGGTGTCAAAATGGCAGCCCCCTTGTTTTGTCACTTCGCGCAGTTTCATGCGCTATCTCCTCTCTCCATGTCTCTGGGTATATGTCACTGTTGGCTGATCAAATTTTTACATCGCAGTTAGCGGCAGTGTTGCCTCGATCTTTGCAATGTACGTTGTGCTGTTGCCGCAGTCCTTAAATACGCTGCATTTCATTGCATTGTTTAAATTAAAGTCACTAAATATAGAAAGTACCGCAATCCATTGGGCTCGTGTGTTAGAGAGAGAACGCATGATTTTTGCCCAAAAATGGCGGAAGTTACCAGATTCTAGTAACTTTAATGTTAGGGATTGTTCCACCTGTTTGGAGATATCTGTATATATTTTTATAAAACATGACAGTACTATGAAGTTAGGTTATAAAAAATGACAGCTATTCAGATTTTATTTGTCAATTTTTTTAGGTTGGCAGCAAATTTGCCCAAAAATGGCGGATGATTGCGGTACTTTCTATATCTAGTGACTTTAGTTTAAATAATGTAGATACATATATCAATTGTTTAAACAATGAAAATATAATTTGGGTTCAAATTAGTCTTTAATTCAAAGTTTTTGATGCAATTAAGAAAATTTCAATCGGGAAAAGTGCGGGTGCTAGCTCGATTTCAAGGCACCCTCACTTAAAAAATCGGCTTTTCGGCGGAACTCAGCGGTCACAAATTCTAATTTTGTGGGTACAAATTAGTCTTTAATTAGTCCTAAATTATATAGGTATATTTCAGAGACATGGAGAGACTCTGGTATATTTTTACTTGATTTGATCAAAGTGGGGGTGCCAACTTTATCGAGCTGAAATGAAGCAATCTTTGCGCACCTACATATAACCACAGAATATAACTGTTCGTAATTTCAGTAGAGAATTTGAAATTTCACACATGTTCGTCTTGAATTCGACAATTCACAGAAAATGAGTAAAATTCCAGTAACTGAAAAACTCTATAAAACCACTTTAAAGATAATTTTCACAATTAATAAGTCGAATCTGCTAAACAAATCGGCCGAAAATTCGAATACATATCTAATGATATCTAAAATAAGAAATGTTTGTTTACACTGCCGTGTAAGGTGGGTTGCATACCTCTCAGGCACATCAATGCATTCTTTTTTCTACGACCTTCATGAAAATGCGGTGCATCCCATCCCGGCGACGTACACCCCGGCAACGTTTTCCCGGCGACAACCTATCTCGGCGACTATTGCTTTCCCGGCATCGGTTATCCCGGCAATGCACACTTTCCTAACGCCGTCCGTCCAACCTCATTTCTAGTTTGTTTTTTGGACATAAATAATGATATGATTTAGAAGCGGATGTCAAATTTGGTACCGAAAGAGTTCAAATTGGCGGCACGACCGAAGCCGGGATTGCCCATCGGGTCATCGTCGAGTTTAGAACGCCGGGATAACCGAAGCCGGGAAGTAAATGGTCGCCGGGATGACTGTGGCCGATGAAAATGAGACCATATAACGTATAATCAATGAATGAAAAGATTCTTTATTCAATGATATAACCCATTACCTACACCCGTGCGTAATGGAAAAAATTAGAATAGATCATGTACGTTTGGAAGTGATAATTATCTACAAATGTCAGAACTGTCGTCAGACGTCGTTTTGGGGTTTGCCTTATTGTCGTTTCGAAATTCACGGAAGTCGTAGAAAAAATATGGTACGTAATTCGGTTGGAATTTGCGTATTAAGGCGCGTTTACACGTACCCATCAGCTAGCGCCAGTCTCTCTGAGCTGCCATTCTTATCTGGCAATGAGCAAAACCCAGGTCGTTTACACGTAGTGAGCAACACTGGTGCGGGTATATGGCAGCTACTGGCAAGAAAAATAGACGCGGTCTCTATTCGCCCCAACGCTTAACTGACACGAAAAAGTATTCACACGATGCCAGTAATATGCCAGTTCTAGCAGGCCAGTAAGACTGGAGCCAGCTACTGGATACGTCTAAACGCGCCTAAACCAAAAAATGTTAAAAGAAAATGATTCCGTTTTTACAAAATCTTTACAAGCAAGTGAAATGTGAATCATACTCAAATGTAGTTGTGGCCTATTAGTAGTTACACTCCAAATTGACTGCACGAAAACCGGACATCTACGACAATAGTAATAGTAATTCTTGGAACCAATTTCTGCAGACGCTGCCCGGGGTGTTGTTCGGAAAGTGATCGAAAGGCTGGCTATTAATCCCTTTTTCAACGAAATGTATTGTGAATCGACTAGTAGGTACCTATGTAGTTTCAGGTGCCTTTGCATCTCGAACGTAGATTAAAAATCTCATCTTGCAAAGAGATCACTTTGGAACTACACTCCGCATCATTAATAAACCCCTAAAGAGCATCTCAAAAAGCGGCAGAGCACCTGATCGGTGTGGCCCTACGGGGTAATTCGATTTGGCCCATTTTCAATTTGCTTGTTACATGTGGCATATAGCCCGATAGGTCAACTGTGCAAAGTTTGAACCAAATCGGTCCAAGCGTTTGACAGTTATCGTTTTCACGGACGGACGGACAGACGAACACCATCGACTCTCCTATAGGTAAAGCTTGCATCGCTTTTGCTCTGCTGCTTAATAAATAAAAGTTACAGTGGAGGCCGAAGTACGGCTATCCATCGTGTGAAAAACGTCCACATGCATTCGTTTTAGATTAATTAATCTCAGTAACCTAATTGACGTCTGTCAATTTTCAAGCGTTTCTCATACAAAAATGGCCCAAGGGGGTATCAGTCTGGAGGAAATTTTTAGTTTATTTGCAAAGTTTGGCGACACGAAGAGCGATGGAAAGGTGATCACTCTAACTAACGCCGACAAATGGTTGAAGCAAGCCCAAGTTGTCGATGGCAAGAAAATGACGACCACCGATACTGGAATAGCCTTTAATAAATTAAAGTACCTAAATGTAGGTAGGTTATGTACTTTTACTTAAATATGTGGTGTTACAGATCGAAAACGATCACATTTAAACAATTTATGGAGTTTATTGAGGATCTAGCGAAATCTAAAAACATGAATGTCGAGGAAATTAAGACCAAACTTCTAGCGTGCAGTATACCTGGTGGCCATGGAGTTACGGTACGTTAACTTCATAGCATTTCTGTTTGTTTGTTGCTAGACACCGTTTCGTTACATTTTATCTTTTTCGTACTTCCGAGACTAAAGTGACAACTTCACTCCATTATGACAAGTACTGAAGTGTCACTTTTTGTCCCGCCGGGATTAAATTTGGGCGAAAATCCCGGAAGGATGAAATTATTAACAAGGCAATTTCAGTAGGTTGTTTCACATTTTGTATGCGGCACTACTTCTTAAACTCATTGTACTGCTGCTCATATAGTTTTTTGGATTTCGGTGGTATCAATTCATACCTAGTTTGGCTGCTTTTTATCAATATCAAATACACCTTTGTCACCCACCACCAAAATTATGACACTAGCAATGACAGTTTCCAAATTATTTTTGTTACCATAGCATAGGGATTGTCGTACCAACGCAACGTTCCTATGGTAACTGGTTAATCAGCGATTTTTTGAAAGAACGCGTTCTCTAACTCCATACATATTAAGTGTTTCAGTTTCGGAAGTACGAAAAATATCGTATATACCTTGCGACTGAAGTAGTGGTCTTAATCCCTCAGGTAAATTATGGCCCTCCCTTCGGTCGGGCCATAAACTTTACCTTCGGGATTAAAAGTACTACTTCAGTCCCGCGGTATATAATGTACTATTTTGCGCGATCGGTCATTTCTGACTATTTACCATATGTGTTTCCATGACAGTACGTAGCATTTACCAATTGCTATGATTACGACGACGCCAAAATTACTTACCGATCTAAAAACAGAACAGCAAAAATACTTACCGACGCCTTTTTAAAAACAATCAGTTCAAAATCAACAGTCTAACATTTAATCTTTAATTATTGTTAGGTACATTAAACGTACAATTTGTGCTGTTGTTTCCTATAGCAAGACGCTCATAAAGTCATAAAGGAAGTGCAAAGCTAGCAAACTACATCAGACACGTGCACAATTTCATGAAATTATTAATTTCAATTTTGACATTTAAACTGGTTACCTAGTGATGTACACCATACCACTTCGATCATTTCGATTTATTCTGCTCGTTCATTTCTTAGTGCATATTTATATTGGTTGCATAATTTTAATTTCGATCGCGCAAAAAATGTTATAAGCACGTCGAACGTTAAGGGTTACCGTTCTCAGACAATAATTGGAGTCGTCGCTTCGCTCCTCCTCCAAACAATTGTCTTCGAACGGTAAAAATCCCTTACCGTTCTCCATACTTAATATACTATTGTGCACCCTTCTTTTAAATCCCCACTTTAGCACTGCCAAAACAATGGACTGTCTTAAAAATCATGTCGTTTTAATAAGATGAAAAGCGCCTCGTATATAGGCAGTAGAGTTGCTTTTGAACCACTTAAGCAAACCCTACATGGGAAAAAAAAATTGGGGGTATCGAAAAATAAACTTGTAACCTTTCTCTTTACTGTAGGTCATGCAGACCCGAAATAAAAATTAAAACCCTAGCAAAAATGTAGGCCAAGACAATAGCATTTTTCTTAAAAACTGTGTAATTTTAATGTAATGAAAAGCTACTCGCTTAAGCGCGGTTGCAGATTTCCTTTTCACCCCTATAAATGATAAAATAATTGGTGTATAATAACTCCATTCTGTAGACCGCGTAGACCAGAATTTGAAACAAATTTATTGCAACCCTAGTACTAAATGAAGGCCGGAAAGATTGCCTTTTTTCTTTAAAAACCACGATAATTACTACCCTGATACTAAATGAAGGCTAGAAAGATAAATACCTTACAAGCGCTAAAAAATAACAACCAAATAGCATTTTGCTTACCAAATTCAGAAGATTTGCGGGAACATTCGTACTTGTCACGTTGTGTCCATAGCAACAACGTCTTGGAAAACTGCTTAAATGAAGCATTGACCAGAGGTATAAGTTTTGAACTAATTCTATACCAACCCTAGGAGGTACTGTTTGTGTTATCAGTTAAGTTTTGTTGTGTAAAGAACGTCATGTAGGCGTTATTTCGGTCTAAACATCAAAAATAATGACGGGGCACATATGAGAATATTTCAATTTAGTATATTAAATTGAGGCTTATTTACGAAATAAGTTGGGTGGTTCTATTTGAATTTATATTTTAGTGTTGTTTTTCCTTTTAGAAATTGCATAAATGTTTTCTTATTGTTTCTGTTATCGCTTTCGTAATTTATTCAATTTACATAAGGTGTAAGATACATCGAGTCGTTGCGATAAGGAGTTTTATCAGTTGTAAATTAATTAACGCCTGTGTTTTATGACTGTTAAGAGTTAACGAAGATTAAGGTGTTTTCAAGAAATTTTGTCATATAAATTAACATAAATGCGGTTTAATGGAAAAGAAGTACGTTTCCTGAAGCTGTCAGGTTTTGTGTCAATTCTAAGCGATCCGGATGCGTAGTATGTGTAAAAACAGGCTGTAAATGAGTTATAGTACCAATTACCGCCCTTGTCCCTTTCCCTTTATCGAAATCAAACGATGGTGAGGGGGAGGAACTAATTTCATCATTCATGGTACTTTAATGCAAGGTCTCAACAACAGGAATTAACTTCTATTAACCGCACCCTTCTTCCTCGACCCTCTGTCGGTTGTAATTTGTCATATGTCAAGAGCGGCGTGTCAGGAGGAGGGTACTTACAAAGGGTGGTCGGGGCGTCTAGATGAGACATATTTGCCGACGGCGTGAAAACTTAATAATTGTGAATATCTTGAAAATGGAGCGTCGAAGGAAAGGTGCAATATTTTCTGAGGGCTTGAATTTTTCCGCTGGGATACTTAGCTTCGCCACAGAAAAATGTGACTACTGAACCCTACCACCACGATAAGGTGTACCCCATGGTAGGGACCACATAGCGTAGATTTTGAATGTGTGCCAGGCTGTTTATGTGCAAAAGCACAAATCAGCACAAAGCAAGCACAAAACTATAGTGTTATGTGGATGATGGTGTTCTATACTTTGTTTTTTAACTACGAAGACGGATTTAAAAGTTCCCGCAAAAAATCTTAGTTTCTATTGGCTCGCGCTGCGCCCGTTTTACACCCAGGTTCATATTTCGCGTCCTAAGTGTACTGGCATTAGTGATGGATTCAACTCCAAGTCCAAGTACCAGTAAAGCAAGCTTGTCTCCTTTGAAAAAACGTAGTCGCTTAAACTTGGGTCATTTTATTAGTCTCCGAGAAGCAGTTTATTATAAACAAATGTCTGATACCCCGGATATGAATTTTGGTACGCTTGTGTTGAAGATTGCATCTACCACAGGTAACGTAAATAATGATGTAGGTATATATTTGGTTATTAAAGTATGACACATATCATATTTAGGAGTTGCACGATCTACAGTATACCAGATAATTAAAGAATATCGAAGTACTGGGATTGTTACCCCTTCGAAACGTTCCGGTGGTCATAACGCTGTTGCAAATGTGAGCTCTGACGATTGGTGGAATTGTGTGCAACACGTTATTAAGGAAGAAAATAAGGATTGGATGGCCTAATGGGTACACTTATAGACCCATTAATTATTTCACTCCGATCGGAGGACAGTGACAGTTTTAGTGAACTTTCGGAAGACAGTGACCAAATCGCTTATACATAAAGCAGTGACCTGTTCTGTTTAATAATACGAGTATAATTCCATTATTTTGAATTTGTTCAATAACTTAACATTTGTTGTAAATTGTAAGGTGGATTGTGTAGTATTACAACTGATAAAACATTTAAAACTACAATTCAAAATAATGTTTCAAAGGGCAAAAAATGTATGCAGGATGATTACCTATTATCAATGTATTACCTATTTATTATAATTCGCTTTTAAAAGTATGATGTATGCATAATATAAAGGCGTTCCTACCAAATAATAACCCAAAAGCATAAATAATGAAATCTATCCAAATGTGAAAGAAAATCACATAACGCAACCCACAATACATCTCTGTATAAAATGAGTCTATTATTTTTGTTACTAGATTCTAGTGACATTTCCAGTGTAAATCAGGTTTTTAAAGCTGAATTTATAGTTCCGTACCCGCAACATCGTACCGTAACGTTTGGAATTAAACCCTACTTGTTGCGCGTGAACATTTATAGTTCGCGTTAACGTTGCGTTAGAACGGTTACGGTACGTAGGAAATGCCCAAATCTTATTTCTTACGGTAAATCGTGCTAACGCGTTTGTCGTCGGCAGTACTCGGATAATTCAAACAGTTGAGTTTATCCTGACGTTCGTTTCGTTTATTTACAATAATTATTGACACTTTGTTGGTTATTATTAGTTTGAAATGCACGTTACTCTTACTGACAGATGACATACAATGACAGAATTCGTTGCGCGCTAATGCGCAAGCTGGCACTACGGAACTATAAATCGTATTATTTTCGTTAACGTAAGATTTTACGGTTCCGTTCTTACGGTCTTACGGCTACGGAACTATAAATCCGGCTTAAATCCGTCTTCCTAGTTAAAAAACAGAGTTATAGTATTAAGTTAGACAACGGAAAATTTAGGATTGGCACACAAATTAGCACAATATTTTTGGCGATGTAACAAATTGGGGTGCCGATTCAGGGATGCTAACTTAATCCAGCCCTATGAGTATTAGATTAGCGAGCAGCTTGCATTTTGTGAAAGGTGGGCGCATAAAATTCACACAACCCCATTTTTATGAATGAAAATGAAGTAGGTAACATTTTAAGACTTTTAAGTACAGGCTGTGAGAACTTTTGTGTACCTAAATGTTAATTTCGCATACGTCGATACAACCGAGGTGGGGCAAGTTTGTTGCACTCAGTTTAATGAGGCGGATTTCTCGTGGAAAAACTTTTAGAAATCTTAGTTTCCGAAAAGTTTTTGTTTGCAATGTAGTTTTGAGCACGCAATATTGTATGAGGAAGTTTTGTCGTGTATGGGGTGTGTGCATGTATGTTTCGTGGGAGATACGCTACGCCGTAACGTCGTCTCGATGTTCTCTCATTCCTATACTCCGCTTCCAGTTTG